AACGAGTTCGCATATCCAAATAATACTACTGCCAAGCAAATTTCAGCCCCCATAACTTTTTAAAGAAAACCATTTTGCAGTTTTAATTTCCATTTTTGTAAACAGCATTCAAAACTCTATCGATTCATCTGGGTCTCCAATCAAAGTCCCACGGTAAGTAGATTACCCCTCCTTGGATAGTGAATATTGCTCATTGCAATGTTTAGGTCTGCGCAGTGGAGCCCTCGGAAATGTCACCAATCTGGCTTGGAACGTGCGTGACCAAACTACCGCAGGAAAATTTGGTAAGACTATACACCCTGAGCCAAGAAAAAGTATCTGTGAGCTCTGCAGCCATAAATTAGTTGAAGAAAAACAAAAAAGAAGTGCTCTTTGTCCGAAAAATGCGACGTTCCAATCGCAGGTTTCAGATGGGGAACCAACTCCTGCTTCACATTCCTTGTATGCGGAGGACAGGAAATGTCTGAAATTCAATGGCAAAGAAGTTGCAAGAAAATTGGTTTAAATACGGCATAATTGTAAGAGACAGGACAAATTGGAATTTGATAGCTTTTTTTGTTTGGGTAGAGCTGAGGTGGTGTAGCGGCGAAGCTTCACTATCGGTAAGTCAGATAAGCTCTTGAATGCCAATATGATTCTCGAGTGGAAGTCAACTCCCATTCCGGGCGTATTCCTCAAACGGGATTTAATTAACGCTCGAAGACTTCATCTTTTATAGTCTAGCATAGAAACTTGTGGAAAATTGGGTGAAAACCTTGAACTTCTCTTCAAAAAGTGACTGCCGAGCTTCTCAAGTGACAATGTTAACATAGATATCACTGAACAAAAGAGTACTTAAAGAGTATGCTATTCCCATTTCGTGATATATGCCACTGATCAGAAGAGTGCTAGAAGAAATGCAATTCCTACTTCGTGACTTCAGGCACCACAGAGGCTCGTTCACGGCGTCCTTCCCAACGGTTCTTACTTCGCTAGCGTTCTATGCATTACACGTGTGTACGTAATTCTTTCAGTGACTGTCCGAAGATACGTAACTGTGAATCCGAGATTGAGTTCAATTGTATTTCCTCTTCTTTAACTCTTGGAGAAGGAGTGTTAGTTCACCTCAAAAGCCTCCGCTGCTTCACTCGACACTCCTGGAGCTTTCTAATCAAAATTTCATTCCGCTGACTTTCAACAAATCGTTCCACGATTTTGACACGAATAATGAACTTTGTTCATACATTACTTCATGTTATTGGCATATTGTATCCTCCCATTTCTCTAGGTCACTGTTATAATCACCCTGTCCTTGAATATACTTGTTCAGATCGTTGGAATAGATGTGATGACAAAGCATTCGGTAACGCATGGGAGGCACAATTTAAAAAGGTCAATAACATTAAAACTCGTAAAAAATAAAAAACTAAATTGATGTTTACGAGGTGAACTACGATGTCCTTCTGAATGCGGCCCCTATCAACATTCTTGTCAGGGAGACAAAACTCTGCCGAGAGATCATTGTCGCCTACAACAAGGTAAGCTTTACGGAGAAATAATCATTCAGGAGCTTTGAACTTTCACCGTTTATATCTTTCAAAAGATAATGCTCATATTATAGAAACAGTGTTCACGATGTGACGATCATGAGTCTTAATTATTCAACGTGAGCAGTTCAGATACTGTGCCCAGGAATACAGCTTATGCGAATAAAAAAGCATTCTAAGAAGTTCTACTTCAAGTGGAGGTCTATCTATGTGTCGATAAGCGCTGTTGAAGGTTTTCATCGTTGGCGTTGGCCTCATGAGGCCGATGACGGAATTCCTCGAAAAATTCACGTGGCTTTATTTCCCTGATCCAAACGTCCCATTCTTCCGCATAACGATACTCAGTCGATACGGAAAGCTGAGTCAGTCGTGGCAACACCACTCATCTGTCATCATTTTTCTACCGTATTCCCTACAAGAGGGATAATCGCCTGTGCAGAGACACGCGGAAGACGCCAGTGATTTTCAGTATTGATTGTAGGTCTGTTACGTAATTGCAGGTGACACCGGATGGTAAAAAGTACTGGTCGCTGATGTGTGAATGCGCACGACCCATCGATGATCCCGTGAGTGAGCGGTGATCGACACTATGCAAAATTTGCAGAACTGTGCACAGAATTTTTTCCGATTCAGATAACTGAAGAGGAGGTGTCAAACGAGCAAATGTGTGGATCACAAGATCACGCGGGAGGGGCCGCGAGGGTTTCCCGCCGCCACCGGAGATCAAGAGGGCTAGGGGCTCACTATAAAGAGAAGCGTTTCCTATGAGGTGGACTCCCTCTCGTCTTCGCCAGACTCCCCAGACCCCCCGTAGCCGGTCGCCTCACCCACACGCCTATTGTCTTCTTCTTTTTGTGTTCGCGTTTATTGTTAATTGTTCTATTGCAAAAAAATTCTATTTTGTTCGCGGTGTTCACTTTGGACATAAGTGGACAGAAACGGGTCTCATATACTACATGGGGGCCAAGCCGTTCCACACAAACGTCTGAAGTAAACATCGTGCTCACTCTTCTGTTCGTGAAAACGCCGAATAGTGAGAAAGGCGTATCGTGTTTGGAATACTCCAGTCAATCGGGAGAAAAACGGATGATTGCAGAAATACAGCCGAAGCTGCTGTGCGAAGTCAGGAAAGAGTCATAGAGATGGATCAAGACAAGGAAAACGTCCAAGGCTCTGAGGTGAGTGGCACAGGGAAGGAAATAGAGACCCTACTGAGAAGCGATATTGGGAGAGCGGTGGAATCAATAAGGGGCCTAGGTCCAAAGATCAAAGGTGATCTGGAAGAGGCACGAATTGCTCCCAAATATAGATCGATGATAGATAGGTCAGTAGAGCAGCAGGTCTAGATCGCGTGTGAGACGCTGGAGACGCTGGAAAGGGGACATGAAATCATACCTGACTTTTGGGAAAGAGCCAGTGGATTTCTTACAAAAGAGGGGAACTGAATCTCTGGAGGACTGGCATGACTTTTTGAAGGTTGCAGAGAGGGATGGAGATTTGCGAGCAGAAATTTGCAGTATGCTAGATACAGATGTGCTACAGGTACGAGACGTTGTTGGAGAGTTCCAAAAGCTACAAGAGAAGCAGGCGAAGGATATGAGGAGAAACGATGAAGAAATGTCCGACGAAGACATGGAAGCTACGGAGTTGAGCAGAAAAGCACCTAAGGAGTACGAATCGGCAAGTGCTGAAAATGGAAAATTGCAGGTGACGACTCAATTGTCAGAACGGTACCACGAGCCAGTGGTGATTGGAGCAGCCTACGCGCCGCACTTGAGACCGCATTTGGAGCAATGGGAAACAGTGGCGGAGCAAACCGCAACAGGTGCGAATTACATGGATAGCAGCTTCCTAAAATTTTTACAAGCGAGTCGTTGTGTCGACCCCGGTGTGTTTCGAAAAAAAAGCAGGGGAGAATTTCAAAGAATTTTTGCGAAGATTCCGAAGGAAATATGGGCCGTTGGGATACAGTGACAGGACACTATTGGAAATATTGGCAGATGACCACCTGGATGAAAAGGCTAAAAATGTATTCTAGGCAATACCTAAAGAGCAGGTAGAAAAGGGGTTCGAAGCGGTAGTGAGATAGCTGGATAGGTTGCTTTCGAGCGAATCAACAGCCGCTAGAATGAGAGCGTTAAATGAGTTACGGAGCTCAAAATTGAGGCCNAATCAGTCAATTTCGGAATTCTGTGTAGTGTTGGAGAAACTGGCTCGCAAAGCTAATCCTAACTGTGATATAACAGAAAGGTCGTTGGAGTACGCGCAAATATTGTTGGATAACCTGAGAAAATGGCCGGAACATGTGCAATTGTTGAGTTTGCTACATAGGTCAGACCCGAGTAGCGCATATAACGAGATCAAGCAACTAGCTATAACGATATAGCAAGCAAGGACAGTGTATGGAATGGGCCGAAAGAGCGGGGTGACAGGTACTGAGTGGAAAAAAGGGCGCAGGCATACAATAGCCATCGGGAAAATGATCGGTTCAGACCGCCCAACACGGTAGAACACCAGATAGGGTACGCCGAAAAAGAAAGAAGATGTTGAGACCCGCAAGTGTTTCAACTGCTCGAAGTTCGGGCACATTGCGCGGAACTGCCCGCTAGGAAGACCCGTGGTGAATAATATAGTTGAGAATAGAGCAAAGACGAAGATCAAGAAAGGGGCACGGATTTCGGATCTAGTGCGTCAGACAAGGGCGATGGGAACGGTAGTAGGAAAAGGCTCTGTCACAACCAACTTAGTCGGAAAGAAGTCGACAGCATGGGTGAGTATGTTGAATGAAAGAGTTCGGGCGCTGATCGACACAGGATCAATGTTAAGCATTGTTCCAATAGGACTCTTGGCTAGGGCTCAAGATAATGGCTTTGACGATGACTCCCTCACCGTAATTGATCGGGAAACACTTGAGCCGGTGTATGATGCCTCCAACAAGGAGATGGAATTTCTCGGTGGAGTTTCAAAAGCGGTAAAAATGGAAGGCGGATCTGAGTATGAAGTTGCCTTCTACATATCGAAGGAGAAAGGTCATGAGGTGCTACTTGGAACAAACGCACTGGGAAGCTTAGGGGTTCAGATCCACCTGCCTAAAGTACCATTATTCCCCATACAAAGGTGAAGCCATAATGGGAAAGTCACCGTTGCAAGAAGGACCTACATACCGCCATACAGCTCCGCCGTGGTACAAGCACGTTGTGATATTGATGAAAGTTCTGTTGAACGCATTATATGGCCAAATTCGAATGGAATGGCGACAGGGGTTTCAAAATAGAGAACTGTGAATGTGCGATTCCGGTAATAAACGAAAAAAGCAAACCAATGATGTGGAATGAAGGTGTTAAGATTGGGCACCTAATTTGTTTTGACTTGATGTTTTGTTAATAATAATAATAATAATAATAATAATAATAATAACGGAGCTCTCAATTCATGTAATCAATATTAGTCCATCTGAGACTGTCAGGGAGGTCAGCAGCCAACCAATTAAGCGGGGTCACCCCATAGGCGAGTGAGTGGATGGACGAGGGAAGGTGCGAAGTAAGTAGAAGTGGAACTAAATAGACTCACCCATTCAACGCCGAGAGCAGTGTTCCGACTTCTTACGTAACCAAAATTATTATACATCAGACATCAACTGAGAATGAAGCTGAAGCGTAAGATTTGCCAGACCCATTACAAGAAGTATACAGAATCGTAGTGCTAGGAGCTTGCTGCTTGCACTCAACTGCTTTCATAACAAAGTAGCATTCTAGAATGTCGCTCGACTTGGGTTCATCTAATTCAAACAGGAACTGCACTGGCTATCAATCGGCAATCTTCTTTAATTGTATTTTCGCTCTTGACGACGCCTTCGTTCCACTTTTAAAGACGAGCTCAACGGGCCACAGTGATGCTAGGACCCAAAAATTCTCATTTTCAAATTTGATTCTTCGTGGCAGCTTTAGTAAATTATGGCATAGAAACTGAATGAAACCATAGAAACTTCGAACACCCGAAAGAGGAAAATTAGCGAATTGCCGAAGCTCTCCGCCTTTCCCTTCTCATATAGTACTTCAAACGCTGCAGAGAACGGTGAGGCAACTACCGTGTGTTGTTGTATTACTTTGCCTTTTTGTGTGTTTCAATGGAGGTTTATGACTGCCTAGACTAGAAATTGGAGTGATCAGGTCATTCGTACTCTGTGAAAGGGTTAGAGCGATTTGCTAACAGATACAGTCGTACTCATAGACCATTGCTGTTGCCGTTCCTTGAACAAATTAAAATGAAGTAGACCCCAACTAGCCACATAGACTAGTTGGGTGATCATTGTGCTTTTTACATAGACGTCGAGATAGTTACAGTCATCGTTATCCCAACTTTTTTTTTATCATTCTTATGAGTACGTTGCTACCCGAAGTCTGAAAAAGTCTTGATGATAAAGTTTTGCTCAGGGAAAATACTGCTTCTCAAAGCCGTCGCTGCTCCATCTGTTTGGACTCTTTTCTTCATGCAGGTATGTTCATTAGAAAAGTGTTAAGATATTAATATAGGAAAGTAACAGTAGTGCACAATATACAAAGGCTATGCAGTTCTGTATATAAGGTGCAGTGGTAAGCTTATTGTTAGCAATGAAATCTTAAATAACATATCGCTGGCCACGTTAGCTTGGGCACAGCGTGACTTGAGAGGGTCACATCTCTGAGCTACAATGACGTGTTGCTCGATAACCAAAGTCCCGAAAACTATATTTGAATATGAGGGTGTGCTAGGATAATGTGTTGCAGTGCCAAGTGGCATACCACAGCTCGCGTAGTTTTGGGATCGAATCTCAGATGGATACATACCTGGATTAGTTTACTCTGAAAGATTCTATGTCGAACATGAAAAAATAAAAAAGTCAAGGCGTGAAGCTGGATGGATATCAGCTGCAGATTCCCATGCTCAAATCCGTCCCATGAAATAAAATATCCCACTACATATACGAGCTCAGTGTGTCTTTTGGTTTGCGTGTGGGCATATGTTTAGGTTGGTGTGTGTGTGAGTATCCATAACTCCTGTTCCCGCAGACTTGGAGTGTTCAAATTCGGGAGAGTACAGGTGACAGGATGGGAACACTAATGGTAGCTGGCATGACCTGACCCCACTGAAGAGGAGGGGAAAATATTGCTAATTTGGACCTCGAGCGTCAAAATGTGGTAGGAGCACAAGCGGCGGATTCAGGACACCGATGGTCATACTTAAAACAAAAATGAGCAGTATTCACAAACAACACGGATTTGAAATAAGAGGGAATGAATCGTTTTATTGAAACACACAGATCTTGAGCATGTGCCTGGAGGGCACCAAAAAAGTGTGTCTGTGTTTTGGATGAAATCGGTATCTCCTTGTTTCTTCTACCAGAGTTTCTAAACATGTAAGGGTGCAGACGGCGAGTCACCTTTAACACAAGAAATAGGAGAGTACACTAGAAGGATGGGGGGAGTCCAGCGCCAGCCCCGCGATCCTACCGGTAACTGAGAAGAATATGGTCCTACTTTTTATAACTCTCTAAGTGTGTCTGTTGATTTGTAGATGTGTTTGTTTGTGTTTTGTTTCTATGGGTGCCAGTGTGTGTATTAAATGGGAAATTCATAATTCCTGTTCCTCCCAAACAAGAGGATTCAAATTTGATGTTGAGACAGAATTTCGATTGTAGCACTAGGAGTAGATAACAGGAAGTGATGACAGTTGATACTTTCTTATATCGAGCCATGGAAGACAGAAAGGCTGGGTTCATTTTGCTCTTCAGATTGTTTGTGGAAACTTGACATTGTGCTGGGCGATGTTGGGTGTAAAGGGGCTGCAGAATGTTGGTAGGAATGATTGGTAGAAAAGTATAATGTTTGTCAAGTACCTAAAAAAGGCGTGCGTCATAGAGTCTGCAACTCTCTTCGTGTACGCACAAGATTTGGCACTTTGTCAGATGATGTGCGTTCGGGATCGTTTGGTTGATGTTAAGACTTTAAAACAAATGATAAGGGGTGATGATTGCCTCCCTACACTTCCATTTTGTGGAAAATGAGGGGCAACACTTCACTATATGATATAGGGTGTGACCGAATCGCGTTCAAAGAATTACAGGCTGTAGTTCCAGCTGATCAGTGCTCATAAGGTTAGCATGAGGGTCATATAAGGTTTCTTGTTGGTGGCTACACCACATACGTGATATACCCTTAATATTTTGATATGATTCATAGGATGAGTGGAGATGATAAAGTAGGTTGACAAAAAAAAGAGTGATAAGTGGAGTGATGAAGACCGTTTGAAGCCAACAAAGTTGCTTTCTTGCTTCCTACTGGATTACCAGGACTACGAAAATGTTTGCGTTTCAATAAGAGGTCACTTATTCTCTCCGTTCCGGTATCGTTTGCCGAAAAACCTTTCCGGTCATCATAATCNTGAGAATGTTGAGAATGATGAATTATAACGGTATTTACAAATGTAGAGGGATGGACTCATGGTAGTGGTGTGTTATCATCAATCCATAGCACTAGCATCACTCATAACTTCACTTGAATAACCAGACTGCTAAATTCAGGGAAGGCGGTGTACCACTAAACTAATGATGTAAAATTTTCAATGAACTATTATTGAAAAGTAAAGTGAGGGCAAGATGGAGGTTTTGCAAGTTCAAGCGATGAGTGTATGCTCATCATGTCGAATTTGCAGTACCAGCTAATCGAGGTGTTTTTTCTCCAAGAAATTCAAGGTTAAAAACGAATTCGTTCCGGAAAAAATTAGCCGTGGGGAGTGAGGAAATCTCTTCCTCAACCGGTCGATCTGACTGGTACGTACATAAAGCTTAACATAACATCCTATCATTCTTATTCTAGGCCCATAGAGCCTTACTCTGTACGTTCACAATCATCTCTACTAAAGACATTCCATGGCATATAGTGGAACCCTATGCTAATGCATCATTCGCTGCTCGAAGTGAAGGTATTTGTCTCAAGCAGTGTCTGGAATCTTACCCAGAATGTTGTTTGGTTATCACNTAAATTCAGGGAAGGCGGTGTACCACTAAACTAANCAAGGTCGACAAATCGGTGAGTTTCTCTCCTATGTCGGTTCCAAATCGATTGAAACTATTTCACGTTGAATTGTTAAATATATTGCGTCTTCGCTGTCTAAAACTGAGCGCCAGAGAGCAGAGTTGGGGGGCTAAGGCCGGCTTTGTCATCCTGTAATTGTGTTTGAAAATGTTTCCTAGTTAGAGAATTTATTATGGTTTGCTGCCCTTACCCTATGAATGGGAGGGCCTAGGTGGGTGGAATGATCACATTACCCTCCCAAGGCTCAGAAAAAAACTATATTGGTATCCATTACAGGAATGGAAACTGCTTTGACCGCCATCTACTGACCATAACGATATCATCAGTGCATTTTAGCATTTTTAAAATCTTATATTGTGTTTTCAGACCATTTGTTACCTGTACAATGCTCGCTCCAAACCGATTCAGCATGTCGCGCAGACAGTCAGTGGTTACAATGCAAATGAAAATATATACGTGCTAAATAGAGACAAGGTCGTTACTACATGTCCTTTAGCAGATACCATTCTACCAGCCTAAACCTGCTAGCAACTTGAATCATCATTCTCATTATTGCATCTGTTCAAATTATCCTTGTCAGTAGTAGAAACTTTGGCATGTGGGGCACGATCGCTTTGCTTCTGTTTTGCTGTCTCGCGGAATATGCTCGACTGTGTTGGTTCGATTTTTGCTTTTGCTTGTCTATTTCTTTGCTAGATGCCCAATGAAATTTCATTGCTCCAGAGAAAATTTGAAACTGGAAATGTTTTTGCGTCCAAGTGAATACATATGTATTGTGCAATTCACATGTCTTAAACTATTTTGAACGCATTACGCAAAACAGCTCCATGGCAACTGAATAGAATCGGCTCTTCAAATTTTTTTCCATTACAATCGTGTGAGCCTTATCAAGTGTTGCAATGCTGCATATGTTAAACTCAGATCTGGTCTCAAATCGCATTGACCCTCCGATACAAAAAAAACCTGTGCCCAAAGATGAATACACAAATACAAATTTGCATCCAAGCATTACTGTAGTTGGTCTGGAATGCATTTAGCATTCAACCACGCAAAAAAGTAAACATTGTCCGGGACAGCAATCTAAGCTAGCAATCGAGATAATTAAGCACAGAGCAGAAGAGGCTGACGGATTGAAAGTATTTGGGAATACTAGCAGCACGATATGTGGTACGGCGCGATGCAGGAAGAATTGAACGGCTGCGGTGACGACTTCAGCCATCTTTTTGTCGGTAAAAAACAAAAGCGGCGGATGGAGGTGCTCAGAACCCGCTCCGGCAGCTTGTGCAACGCCTTTTAGACCAATGCATTGTGCACCAAATGTTACATAACTCCAGTGGCCTCTTTTCCCAATTCTATTTGAAGTCAAGAACGTTGCCGCTAAAAATGTAATAGATAGCTCAACCTCAATAGACAAAATGAAGATGAGAAATACTCGGCACCAAATGGCTTGAGAACGTAGACAGGTAGCTCAATACTGATGTTCCGGCAATACTGTTACGACGAAGCAGCAAGAAAGTGCGACCACCCATTCGCCTTTCTCAATAACAATTGCCTCTCCATTGATGGGCCTTCAGCACGCAGCCCAATGAATAATCCTGTAGAGGCAGACGAACTGCGTAGAGCATATAGTAGACCGATAGCATTTGTGATGGCACCTCTCCCGGTGTCGGCGAATCCCATCTGTAGTATAATAACACGTCTACTGCCCTTGTACGCTCATGAAATTGCAAGGGAAGTGAGCCAAATATTCAAGCTCAACCAGTTTGCAGAAAATTTCCTCCAAGACATAACCGTCCTCCTCTAAAACAAAAACGATCGCTTAATAGCACCATCCACCAAAATCAAGTGCGAAATGGAGGTGGCACTCAGACGGTCATCAAGCAGTTCATTAAATTTGCTTCTTGCAGACCAAATTTCAAGCTGGTTTATTGTGAGACGATTCTGTCAGCTTTTGGATAAGCTTCATCTATAGTATCTTTTTGAATCCTTGAATTCGGCATTCTGATACTTAGCATTTTGAAGCTATATTCCGCCAGTCTGTGTGGTAATGTAATGGTGGCGATAGGAGTCTACTTGAGCTGCAATTAAAGCTTCACCTAGAGCGAATCAAATACTACTTTTCAGCAAGCGAAAAAAATGCAATTTTATTCGGAGACGACAGAAAATTAAATAAAGCGGAGTGAAGAAATGTTCTGAAGAAATTTCTGTCAAAAGCAGTAAAGGCGGGACCATAAACGAAAATTTTAATTTGCAAAACTCAAGTGCAGGCGTTCGTAGTCATGTCAAAGGATAATTTCAGAACAGGGTTTCAAGATGGATACGGGCTAACCAGTGCAGGGACAGAGACTAAGGCTCAAAATCAAGGCTTGTTAGTTGATCCTGAATGACAATAATTAATGCAGTTATGGTTCGGAACCCCTTCATCGAATATGAGGTCGGAAATTCTCTAGTACAACAGTAAGCAATAAGAAACGGCATTCAAGCTATCTAATCCATTTCTTGATCGGGTTCATTTTGACCAGCACGGCTATTGCCCTTGTTCTTGTTCATCACCCGCGGTTTGTGGCTACTACCGGCACGGGAAACTCGCTTCATTCGAACGGCTGAAACGTCAGTAAACATGAGTACTTATCAACAAACAATTTAATTGTGCTATTGGAGCGAATTCATAAAGCATGATTTATCCAAGAATATGCTCAAGCAACTAGGCCCTCTGCACCACGTTCAGAATTCATAAAAGCGAATTACAGAAATATAGAAATATTGCTGGCTTTTACTTGATGTTCTTGCTAACTGCTGTTCCCACCAATCACCGACCTTGTGATACCCTGCTATTCTATAACTGAGACAGCTTTCTCGTCTCGGAAATACAGCATTTTGGTTGCGGTCTGCATAGAGGCGGTGAAGTGGTACGTGGCCCACACTATTACACGCTTGGTCCAGGTATCAGATCTCGGATGGATACCCTCTCCTCCAGCTAACCGAGCTCCCCATCTCTCCGGGAATAATTAATTATGTACCAGACTCGCCTGTTAGGATAGATACACTGATTTATAATTGGGACGGCCACTGGCTACTGAAAGTTATTGTGTACAGGCCACATACTCATTGAACAAAGGCCGTTCTGTGAGATGCTGGATGGAAGTCGCATGCGTTGCCGCACCCCAGAACTGAATAGATCAACAACAGAGGACTTTGCCCGTCATTTTTTATGTTCAAAATTTAGTGGATTGAATAGTTTTTAGAAAAGCAGTGGAAGCTTTCAATACGTCCATGTTGTGCAATGGGAAGCGAACGCGTTGAGAGGATGGATTAAATGCATATCTAGCTCTGTGAAAAGTGTTAATAGCTAATCTAGATAAGCTATAATGTACCTACTGAATCTACTTGGTGAATGTCATCGGAGGCAAATGTCGGTTCCTCTCCGTGATGGTCATGCTCATCTGCGTGTCTTTTCTGAACGTGATCTGAAAACAACAGAGGAACAGTAACTTCTATTAGATTGGCCCAGACAAGCTTGTTTACCACTATGGTTGCCACATTATTTATTGTTTGTTTATTATTGTTTCAATAGAAATAGGAAGCAGTCGTTGGGGATATCCATGCGAGTGCAAAGGTAGCCTAGCACTCCCAGAGGTCTGGTTATCTTAACCGCACATCCGTTGCTCAAATAAAAACGCTACGAGTGGAGTGGTGAAGCTTCAGAATAGAACGGTTAGAAAGTGCCTTCCGATATCTACAACTACCCCCTTATCTCCAAATTTTGTTAATTTTCACTAATCATTTCCGCAAACTGCCCTCTAACCAGTAGTGATTCTAATGATGATGGCTTCTCAAGAAATATACACATCATCTTCTACTGCTCAGTAAACTTCAACTCGCTTTTGTTCAGATTGGGAGACACTGGAGACCCAATTCATGTTTTGCACAGACCCGCTCTTTGGTCGCGCATACCCATAAGGTATCTTGAACCCAGTCCGATTTCGAAGGAAGAGGTAGCGCTCCGTCAGCAAAAAGAAACTGAACTGTCACAGAGGAACTCAAAGAATAAACGTTACTTGAACGTACCATGACGACCCAAATGACCTGATCTCTTCTCATGGTGATGCTGTTCTGAAAGCACAACCAAGCAATTTCGATACAATTGAAGGTGGAAAAGTGACCTCATATACATCTAGTATGTGCAGGTTTACCCAGTTGGAAACGTGAAGACATACTTGAAGGTGTGATGTTGTAGGAATTTTCTTATCCTCATAGTGATTGGGGATTGGATGCCAAAATATACATATAATTTACGAGTGGTTTGATTGAGGATGGCCTAGGTTGAAGTGCTCCCCTGGTGGCATCCTTTCATGCTTGGAATGCTGAGAGTTTATCAATTACACAGCTTTGCCGTTCTCTCACTTTAGCTTTGCTCTTTTGTCTTGCAGCTGATGACTACTCAGACGAACAGCTCAATGCGCTTGAGCATCATTTTGTCCTATTAAAACTGACTGTTGACTGAGAAAGGGAAGAGCAAAAGTGGTATAGTAGTCAATGGCGCACTATCATACACGCTTGGGACAAGCTCGAATCCGAGGTCGACATCCTTCTAAGCTAATTAATACCGTTTTAGTCTGGGATAAGAACAGCTTAGCTTTTTATTATCTGGCTACAGCAAGCCATTCTCGAGCCCTTACACATCCAAACATACACAGACATTCATTCAAAGCGCCATTGCGATTCTAAGAGGAAGTCTAATGCGTGGGCGGGCCACACACGAAGGGGATTGATTTACTCCGAAAATCTATGCTTTCCTTCTAGAGATGTAAGAATATTCTCTTTTGGAGATCTCTTCAGAAGACACCTTTGACGTCTTCACTTGAAACAAGTGGTTTTCTCTTAACAGATTTTAAAAGCTTCTCTAGATTCAAAGACTCAGGAACACCTTTCTATGTAATCATTACCATCCTGCTCACAAACGACTACTTGTCTGCAAGACACATAACTCACTCAGCATCTGAGCATGCTTATAGTGAATGAAATTTGAAACTTCATTTCTTTTTGTATGAAGAGCTAGAATTCTTTCTTACTGCTTGGTTCCGCTACATTAGCTCATTCCCTTGAGAAACCTGCATGGGTTCCACAAACCATAATAGATTTTAGCCCACCTTCGTCATCTTGCTCCGAATGGTCTGTTTCATCAGTGTGATCTCCGGTGTCTCGTCGCTTTCGGAAAGAGGGCTCGACTAATTCAAACTGTTGACTGGATTCAGAGTGGTCCTCGCCTTCTGCCACATGTCCTTCCGCAGGCGGATCTTCCTCGCTTTGTGAACGCTTTTCTCGTGTACCGTCACGCTCTTCGCCATGATGATCATGTCCCTCAGCTGAAATTTGAAAAACTTCAAAACTCGTACAGGTTTGATGTAGTATTCTGGTTTGCATATATTCACCACAAGGGCGGCGTGCTTTCATGAAATGACCTGCAGCTTACCCTCTAGCAAGGGGGCTTGAGAATCAAATCAGATGTTACGAAAAAATGCAGACTAAGGGGGGGGGGGGGNGGTCAAGACGGGTATCTGGAGGCATAAGCATAATTTACATGTTGCACACCTTGCAAACATGACCTGGCTGTGGTTGTTGGCAACTTCGTCAAATGGTCCAAATAGTAACGAACTAAAGTGCTCGGCCTATTAAGGGTACGCCCTTTCAAATTGAGAAACGACGTATTAGCACATTCGGTTTCAAAATTGGTATTGCTGACCGCTGCAGCTAGGCCTCGGCGCCGAATCGCTAGGTTCTGGTTCACAAATGAAATTTTTGCAGGTCTGACACCCCTAAAATTGAATGTAGAAATAATGGGACACTTTTTCAGTTTTCGTTCGAGCTTTGCTTCCTTCGTCTTCAGCAGATCACTTGCTCCCACCTTCAATGTGGTGCCAAATGTCGAAAATTACGATGGGGGACTACGATATTTGAATCTCAACAGTCCATCCATGTGGTTCCTCAAAATGAAAGGAACCATCCGAATTTTTCCTCAAGAAGATCATACATAATCACTAGATTTGGGAGCACCTCTTACGTTACTACTCATCATAAACTCAAAAGAACTGAAACCCTAAAATCCTGTCCTGAGCGAAGGATGTAGTTTCTATCCTACCTGTACGCTTCTTAAAGTGCTCAGGCCACCTTTATTAATATCTCGGCAGGTTTCCCCTTAGCTAAAATACATCAGCAGTAGTGCGATCACAGGAATTCGGCGCCCCGGGAGGACATACCTATATCACATTATTTTGCTCATCAAGTCACGTTGGACCTAAGGACACTTCAGATCACATAACGCTGTTCTGGGAAGTGTCATCTTGCAGCCTTCCTGAGCTTCACTGGAGAAAAGACTATTACATCCGAATTCGAGGCTCTAGCCATGCATTTTCTTCAGTTCTGCGGTTACGACAGAAAGTTCCTCATACAGACATTTTCTTATTCACAGCATTCACGTTAGTTACAGTCGGGGACTATAATAATGCAGTTGAGGTGGAGCAACCGCATGAATTGGAAACGGCAAGACTGCCGAAACTCGAAAAGAATAGGATGGTAATACAGTAGGGAGTTTCCGACCCGCTTACTATTGCACTTTTTGTTATAGGTGAACTTAATGCTTTCAAAATAGGTTCACCGAAATTTCCCGTATTACTCATCAATATTTAGGGCTGCAGAAGCTTTCCCTCTTCCAGTGTGGTTTGCTCACGATCAAAATACCTAGCAAAGTTATCGTGTCATCATATATATCTCATCTGTATGTCGCAACTTGAATTTGTTTGTCGCAAAGTTAAGTTGGGTGTTCTTGACCGATAAATCAGCGTAACATTTTCCTTCAATCACTTTTGCTTTTGAAATATATTGAGGAAGTTCCCAACGCGTGTTGTGGCCGATTCGGATGGATGTACTGAGCAGCTAACGCTCGATAGTTTTGAATGCTGACAGAAAAAAAACTAACTAATTAGAGGAAGAGGAACATTTTTCGGCAAACCTGCAGTGACTGAGGAGTCAAATACCTGGGTTAACAATCTTACAGGATAATGAGGACATTTTTAGGAACTCAAGCTCAAACCCATGAACCGGAAAGTTCAGCTGGGCTCCCCAAAGTTACACTTTTTTTTTACCCAAATACTGTGACGCTATAATACCACTCATTAATCTTTTGCTGAAACTTCTTTAATCGTTCACTTACAATTTGCATTTCGCTTGCCCACTTTGTGAACGCCTTGTTGATCCTTCAGCGAAAGTTTAGCGTGCACTTCTCCAGTTGTGCCCTGGAAAGAGTCGTTGTAGTATGTGTGAAACATTCACATGACTCATTTCACCTCTTCATTTCTGCTTTTATCCTCGCTGCACTCCTCCTCGACTATCTCTTCCAGCTCGTTATCCGGCGATGTCGTGTCGTTCACTGAATCAACGTCTCCTTCCTCTTCAGTTGACGAGCTTTTGTGCTCTGCACTTTCATTGTTTTCATCTGCACTCCTCTTAGAGAGATGATGATCTGGGTGGTTGTGACCTGCAATAAGGGAATTTAGATCTTGATTCTACTGAGACGGCTACTGTAGCACCATGTGCTACGGTAGTAGCCGGTACAGTAAAGTTATTGTCGCTCCAATTAAGTGCTTATGCCAAAACTCCTCCTCAGTTCACTGGAAATTAGTCGCTAGAACGAAATTTTCAAAAAACTCACCATAAAAGGTAAACCCTAATACTGCTGAGAAATGTAGGGAGGCCATCATACGGATTTTCTTCGAGACTTACAGGAAATATATAGCTCAGGAAGCACTACAACACATACCTGCTCTGCTAGACTAGGTATAAAGAGGAAGCAGTAAGTTATAGGCGATCTACCTAATCAAGGCCTCGCTAATTTCACTGAATGACTAGGGATTGGAATTCACATCGAGCCAATGAAAAAAGTAATCGTATCCTACTAAGCAAATTGGCATCCCAGGCACTGGTTCTCATTGTATAGCCAGCTACCGAGCCTCAACTACCGGAATTGAAAAAAAAAGCCTGAGAACAACTTCTCAGATCGATGGTGGTTGCTTCGAACGTTGAGCAGCTACAGAAGGTCTCGTGCATACTAGTTACCTTTTATTTACTTTTTTATTCATTTAATATTAATTTTAGATCATTTTTAAAATGATAATATTTCAATGTCGAAAACTAATTTGAGAAAACTAACCACTATGTTCGTTATAGCTGGGATAGGCATAAGTATAGACGAAAGCCAAGAGGATAATAACTGCCAATAGAAGCTTCATGAACTGCAGAAGACCTGGAAAACTCATAAAATTTACGTACCCAGTTATACATTGGGTACTCATGATGTCTGGTTTGGTTTGAATGAAAACCAGACGTCATGAGTACGAAGCGAACTATGAGTTCATAAACGGGCAGGAATACGTCAGGGAAAGGCCAATCAAGAGTAGGTGAAATCTGTAATCGATCAGACGCTAAACACAATAATGCCTCGTGGTTATGACGTACCCTTTTTGGCCCATTTTCTTGGCCCTCTTCCTACTAGGCTACCTAGTCGACATTGACGTAATGAAGAAAGGGTGAGGTCCATCCTCAGTTCGGAGCTACTCTCAGGTGCACCAATCAACTACCGTTCAGGTATCACACACCCTTTCATGTGCCAGGAGAGATGAGCCATTAGGTATATAAAACACTCAAAAGAAAAAGAAAATAGAGATCGACATCCGGAGTGATTATGATATCCACTTTGAAAAGAAAGAGAATCGAATGATCGTGCTAATTTGAGTCGACTTCACAATGCTGGTGAAGTTCTGCCAATCCAGGATCAATGGAATCAAGTATTCCACCGCTGGATCTGTATGAACTGTGAACTGAGCTCATGAAATCTCGTTGCTTTTAGGAGTGCCCGGTAAACTGTCTACAAATGAAGGATAAAGCAAGGAAAATGGTTAAAAAATGTCGGTCTTCCATCCTAACGGCTGATTTTTGATAGGGTACTTATGAAGCGAAACCGAGAACAGTTCAAGCTGTCCGGTTCAGTGGCTTTGATTAGATTCCATCTGAACCCCATGCTTACCAACATTAGGACGGGAGACGTCAGCAAGGATTGGGTATCAACTACAAAGTCCACTAGCGGAATGCTACATGAACCTCTAACTGTTATCCAGTGGCATATACTACGTAAGTTTTCACGCGGAAGTGTAGTTATCACAAAAGCTGTGGTTCTTCAGGTACGGTAGAAGATACGGTAGAGGCAGTATAATCAAACAACTCAAACGATCAAAGTGATGATGTTATGGCAGTTTTCGATGCTGATCGTGGCATGCGCCGCTATGCCTCGATTACCCCGACTTTTATAGTCACTGGATAATTGTCGGTGAGTTATAGAGGAATTATCCTCGGTGGTGTCCTCTCGTCCAAAATCACCGTGTTTTCTTTCGTGTGCAGTGAACTTTGAGAATGGCAGAAAATCGTTGGCGGTGGATCCAGGGGTCGGTACTGGAAAGAGAACATACTATTCTAGCTCGCAGGGAAGAGCTAGGTCATAGGACAAGTATGATGAGGTGTAGAAATACCTTCCCATGTCTCTTCGGTCAGGTTCGTTGGTTTCTGCATTTCGGTAGCGGATACCGCTGAAGGAGAAATCGGTTGAGCTGCTGTGCTGCACCCAAACATTTCGAGCTGAAAAAAGGCATTCAGATGGTTGAGCGAGACCATTCTTGACCAGAACGTTTTGAATTGTACGAGAGTTTTCTCCATTCTACAGGTATACGCCACCTGCGAGTTGATGACGATGTCTAACAATAAGAGGATGTCAAAAATCGAAAAGAAAGTTCTCTTTTGTGTGTAACGATGTTCTCATGTTTGATTTATTTAGAGTTTGTCTCCTTCCGTATTCTGCATTCCCTGAATTCTGCACAACTCGGTAGGCCACGGAAGACGTATGGCTGATGAACATGCCAAATGAAATACATTTAATCTAATCTTCCAGTTTTGCAGAAAAAAAAACTTAAAATTTGAGTACGGACGAAGCCAGGAGAGGCTTTTATTAGCAACCTCGAATAATAGTTTCGAAATCTAAGTTTTTGTTTTAACTGACCAGAAATATCTGGAATAGTTTTTCGTCTGCCGAAAATGAAGGCTCGTAGAAAGAAACGCTTTGTAGTTGGCAACGATTTTATTTATTCACAAAGTAACAATTCATCACACAGTTCCTACTAGAGCTTCTCAGAATCTTATTTTTCCCCTCAAACAATCAAGTTTGATTTGTCGTCGATGCCGGGCAAAGAGTCGCTCAACCGCTGTCACACGTCGTTTCATTTCTGTCGACATTTCCTGAATTCAATGAGGTCAGTCGTAATGATAAAAGATATCTGTGGCTGCTCACCGCTCTGAGGTTTGCGCTGTACATAAAAAATCTGTTGATTTCGATGCCCCTTTGTCTTTTCTTCCACGACTGAGTCAAAGAACATAGTTGAAGAGGAAAATGGCACTTACATTAAATGAGGCGTACATGTTATTGAGCTGTCCATCAAGATCGCCTATCTGTGCTTTCATTCGACTCAACTGCTCCTCCAGCGATAACATGGAGGCTGGCTGATCACCCGATTCTACCTCGCCATCTGACAGCAGATTGCGTGACCGCAACATTTCTCGAGCTGCAATCAGTTCACAGATTTTTGAGTTATGTGAACCTTCAAGATTTCCTATGATCGTTATGCCTTTGCGCCATGAATGAGGAGATTGAGTCTAATTGAAGGTCGTGGCGCCCCAGCAGCTGCATTTCTTTGTCGGGCCAATTTATAAACCCTGTCCTTAACCTTGAATTTCCTCACCATTGTCCAAAAGTTGTTGGCGATCGGTTGGATACTCCTGCAAGATTGTCGATACGTCATCCTGATTCAGAATGTAGATGTCAGAGTATCCTTCGGATCGAAGCGAAACTGCTCTGTGGCTGCCCAACTGGTTGCCATCAATCAGAATTACCGACATCTCGCCGAACGTCGAGCCGTCCGTGAGAGTCTGAAAGAATGTTCTTGTTACGATTCTTATGAATGGGAAATCCTTGAACCAAAGTCTACATAATTTGTTGTGATGATTGATCTCCTACCCGCCTAGTGCTGAGTAGCACTCCACCTACTACACTGACTGTTACTTCACTAGCTAAAGTCTTAAGGTGCAACCCACGCATGTACTTGAGGAAGGCGGGAATAGTAAGTAACGGACTCAAAAAATAGTTATAACGGTTCATACCGATCAAAGTGATCTACAGATATTCGCCACATTTTTGAGGATGAATAAAAACCTGACTGCCATAGCAAACAGGCTGTTACCTTTATGTTGTCTGGATATAGAACAACAGATATAGGGTTAGTGTAGACCTGCACTCGAATTCCATTCTATAATTATTATGTACCCTATGTGACTTTTGCGATGGGATTGATGAACATTATGCATATTGCTCATTGCTCATTCAAGCCAGTCGGCCAGGATAGCTTACGTAAGGAAGAATCGTAAGCATAGCGTTCAGCAGCAGTTGTGGGTGCTTTTCTTTCCCTGATTTGGAAATTGGGATCGAGCCATGTAGTTTGGAATTTTCAACACAAACTGGAGGGAAATGATAACAAGAGCTCGTGAGAGCTGATTTTCCTCATGTATAGAAATTTCCCTCTCCTCAAATTACAACATAAACGGCTGATACACCCTGAAAGGTCTCAATCGTTTGAGGTGTCAGCAGAATAATTGTACGTAATCGAATCGTACTTCGAACCAAGTTCAACTATTCACATAACCCCATCATCACAGATGATGAGAGGCAAACTTCGAAGGCATTCTTTCGTCTACCGTGTTCAAACTTTACCCTCTGAGGATAAGGTGCGACATCGGTTTTGTGAGCCTCCAGTGATTTTTATAAAATTCCGAGCCAAAGGAATGGAGCATTGGCTGAGGCTATGGAGGGGGTGAGCACGGGGTGAATGAAATGGTAACTCCTTGCAAAAAGCAGAACAAAAGAGTAATTGGCTTGTACGATAATCTCTCACTTACAATTAGAGAACGCATTCAAGGATGCGAATGCGAACGGCTCCTTAAACTGCATTTTCATCCATGTGCTATTTACCTCAACCAACATGCATTTTTGTAGCTCAGCCATTTTCGTGTACATACAACACCATAACAGGATCTTCATTTTTCTCAGGAAAATGTTCCAAGGTAAGCCCCTAAGGCTTCTAGACGGGACGTGCTGGAAACCCTCAATATCGTGTTTTTGGACGTTTGTGAGGCCAATTTGATGATTCACCAAACCGGTTTCATTGGCTAGAAGGATTCACAATGTCCTTTGCCTATTGGGAAGCTGTCCTCTATTGTATCGATATAAAAGAAAACAAGGAGAATAAACGGAACAATACAAGGAGAGGTCAAGACCAATGGTATGCCTTAGTTCTCTCAAAATATGTGTGATCCCTATTCAAAACGTAGAATATATGATTTCAATAGTGCAAGGCTCACCATGGTGGCTGCTGCGTTTTCTTCATCAATGACCCGTAGCGTCCCACGCTTGACTATAAACATTTCCTAAAGTGAATGGTTGCTGACTGTTGCTGTTTACAGTGCAGAAGGCATTTGTGGAACAAATGTGTTTGAGAATGTTTTATTTCACTCTGACCTTAGCGCGTTCACCAGCTCGAAACAGATAGTCATTCGGGCTGTAGATCTGTTGCTTTATTCGGAGCACAACTTCGTAGAGAAAACCGGCACTGCATTGCTGGAACCAAGAATAAACGATTATATCCTTGCCAAAAATTAAATTTCGAACTCGAGGAATAATGTGGAGCTCAAATTGATAGCAAAAGGAAGGTATGTTGAAACCATCGGAAAACCATCGAGGATAGTATTTATTTTTTTCCTTTCCTGAGCTCCTTCAGGTTCCTTCGTGTTGAAATATCGACGTGATACTGATGACCTAACTACGGGGGGCGCGCGATTCACGCGTGACCCCATTAGTGCTCTTCGCGCACGCGGCATCGTTTCAGTACTTTTCTGTTGAGATGGACCAAATAAATTTGCAGTANATCCCAAAAGATGCAATTCTCCTGTAAACGTGCATAGTTGGTCATTTCTTTATTTATTCTACTTATAAGTTCTTATTTCTTCCAATATGATGGTAGGCATGATGTTTTAGCGCGTTTTGTCCGATGACCTCATTATATTGACGCGTGAATCGCAAACTACTACTATATTTTTCACTCAATTTACCTTGAATAGCTCCACTTTTTTTAGTGTGTCCATGTGGAGGTTGACAGCAATCTGACCCTGCAGCCTAGGCGGCAGAACGTCCAGAAGTTCCTGGAAAAACTCAGTTCTTGTCAAGGGTCCAGGTTACGCTTTTCTTCACTGGAGAGTCTCTCTATCTTACCTGAGGAACTGCAGCCGGTTGGTACCGTGGCTACGTATTGTGACACTGGGTGGGGGGAAATCGTGAATCAAAAGTAACAATTATTTGCTCATAGACGCAGGTGGACTTGCAGAATGGAGCCCATGTTTCTGCTTTGTATATACCCTATCTCCTAGCAGGTCTATCCATGCATGTGTGCGGAAATTCTGCGAGGCGGATGTATTCGGGGCGCCCACAGTAAATGAGCATTTACAATATGGGGTTAATGATGAACACACTAGTGTAAAAAGGTTTCAAACCCGGAACTTGAGGGAGACCACATTATGGCAGCGTTGTGTTTGTAGGATCATTTGGAAGATGTGCTACCATCCCATGACCGTAGCAGGCTGCCAGAAGTCAGAAGGTCAAGGATGGCCATCTGCACTTCTATTGCTTTGGAAGCGTGCTTGACGATCTAATGATGCATACTGTAAGGATCAGGTAGGACATAATCGGACTGGTTGATAAGAGAAGACGACGCTTGCTACACGCTGTTCGCGAAAGTGGAGAAGAACTGTTCCTTGGAACATACGACACGGTTTGTGGTGTAGGTGTGCTCGTCAGCACGCCGTCAACCTCCCAACCCCGAGGGAGCCCTCAGTATGGCAACGTTGGGTAGGTTGTTTGTAAGAGGATGATGGCATTCCGTGATCGTGATAGGCTGCCAGAAATTAGAGGGACAGAGATGACGGTCTATACATTATATATCACACTTCCGATAACGAATATCGATTCGTTCGAAAGCGCGGAGGCTTGACACCTTGAATAGGACGTTTGTAGCTGAGCAACTGTTGCTGAAGGCCAGCTTGACTACCTCTGTTGCCTGCCCACCAATATCAAGCTGCATAAGGGGAGACAAAAGCTTCCTACATATACAGACCCTGAAAAACCCTTGTGAAAAGACATACTCTCTTCAAGGTAATTTTGAATGATTTCAAATTCAAGATTGGCCTCAAGGAACGGGTAAAATAATTAAACTATGGAACCCATAAACAGAAAGGAATGAGCAGGGTGAAAGACCCCGAGTTTATCTTGTCTCATGTCAAACAACTCCATCCATGCTTATTCGAAGTTCCAGAACTCTTTCATCTCCGATGGCTAGGGAGCGTGAGGTGAGGGGTTCGGCAGTGCGATTCTATATCGCCCTAACTTTTTAGTGCGGCTCTCGAGAATATCGTACGTAATTTGGAACGGGAAAACATGAGAGTGAAGGATGACAGTCACCACCTACATCACCTCCGCTTTGTAGTCGACGACGTGATTATAACGTCGTTCGTCGAGCAGGCCAAACGATTTCTGGTCGAAATCGTAGCTCTTGTGGAACTATCGGCTCACGACTGAACTTAACAGAAACGATGGTCAGTGTTGGAAGACGACGATGTAGATGCCTGATGTTCCCTTCACGCTAAGCGGGAAGAATATACATACATGAATGGCATAGTGACGTGTGTCTAGTTTGGGAAGTCAACATAATGAACGACCTAGCCCCGAAGTTGAGCGGAAGCAAACGACACCGGCACGATTTTCGATTGCGTAACGGTTCACTTGCCGTTTGTGATTGCGCCCCTTGTGAAAACCACTGAACCGAAGTTTTTCAATCTCTGAGTGGTATCCGAGGTGACCTTGGCCATTCTGTGAACCTTGAGTAGTGTTCAGCTCGAATTTTAGCATTTCTTCAAACCGAAGAGATTTTTCAAGAGAAAATAGAAAGAAGTCTCCCCTCGAGGCAGAGACCTCGATTTCGACAAGTTGGCTTATTCAGCGCTTGCATGGTCTTTATTGAATACGCGCGCAGTACGTCTAGGATTCTTGGAACATCTGCGTCTATTTGCCCCTACGCCGAATTCATGTGTGAGGACAAAAGTTTTTGTGAAAAGAAGAATTATAAGAGCACTAGTTTAGCAGAAGGCAATGTGTATTTGGGATTTGTTTCTGCTGTTGCGTGAGGTGTGCCGACAGACGGCCGTACAGAAAGAACGGCGACAAAGAAGGCCATTTGAACGTTAACGATAAAAATAGCTCATGATATATCCCCCTGAGCTAATTTTGTGACTCCTTCGTATACCATATGTGGCGCTGTCGGGTCGGAAAACGGCCTAGATAGGGCGCTATGAAGGCGCATGGTTGTCCCTGTATGTCCTCGGACGAGTTTCACCAGCATTGTAGAGGCTGCACCGATCACAAGGGAACCCATGTTGGAAGTTCAAATAACTTGGCATGACCAATAGCGACAGTAAAAGGCAGTTCTGCACAGTTCTGGCTTGATGGAGTTAATGCAATTGCAACGACTGAAATCTCGCCCAAATACCTCTTCCATTTATTTCCGTCATGGTGATCTCGTCCAACCTCTATTTCCCCTGCTTCGAGGGAGCCTTATTTTTCTCGAAATCGACTTAAGCGGTGCTTTTGGCATCTCGTCAAGCGTCAAAGCTCAAGTTGATTCCAAAAAAGTTACAATCCTCATAAATAAAGGAACGGAATGAATTATGGTCTCCACCAAAGGTAAGCATCTCCATTTATTGATGAAAACGCTATGTATTCGCTGTAGACACAGTCTTTCTTTGCGTCGTCGTTTCATTCAGTTTACGGAGTACAACGTTTCCCGAGTGAACAGTAGTGCAAAAGGGATCGTGGTAAAAAATCAAGGGAATAGAATCCTACTAGGCAGACATACCTTCTCATCGTTAAGTTGATGCTGTGAATGCATATACGTGAAACATGAAATTACTCTCTCTTGTATTGCTGGTGTTACCATCCTGAAGGAAGTCACTGAATGAGTGGTCACAAAGAATTTCTGGGTACAGTGATTTATAAAATAAACACCGATATTTCATGTAGAATTTGATGCCGTCCATTTTCTGGCGGAATTCATAGACTTCTTCGTTCATGTGGGTCACAACGCTACCAACACCTCCAATAATCGTAGCAAACACTAGAACACCTATCAAGGTATCTATTACTTCGAGCATGTTTTGCGATGATGTAGATGGATATGGCTGAAAAAGATATCCGTCACTTTATTCATAGCTTCAATGTGAGAAGTTAATTTAAAACGGTTTTCGTCAGACCCTAATTGGGGGCTGCGAAAAAGTGGCCCCTAGTACAGATTTCTATATGGTAATTCATTGCTAAGGGTGGAGGCGTTGCAATGGTAACCAAACCACATAACCATGGTCCAGGGTTCGATTTCCTGGCCGACTCTCGATAAGGGAAACAAAACCTTTCGTCCCTCCGGTATTCCTCAGAAAGATAAATACACTGACTTGCACATCGGCCGACCACCGCAAGTAATTGTACAGGTCACATAGACATTCTTTTTGTTTCTGAATGGAAGTTGGATACCGGTGCGCATCCCGAACAAGGAACTAATTATGGCCAAAAACTTGGCGGCTTCATAATCTTAGTTGTGGCAGTTTGATAAGAACACATTCTTCGGATATATATCTTCTTCCGAAAGCAACACCTAGAGAAACAAAGAAATGAAATATGAACAAAGTCAAGTCATAGAAGGAAGCGGCATTTGCGTTAATATTTCGAATGATTTCCTCTTTCAGTTGAAGGATTCTCTGTGAGTCGCCTACAGTTCCTACCATTTTTCCAGTGCCCTATTCGAGAAGCTACTGGTTTCATGAAACCTATTATTGTGCCGTAGTGTTTGTTTTACAACACACTGTGGAGACTGGAAGAAATCTGGTTAGCTCCAGCTTGAATGGGGCAAGGCAATCACAGTCTCTTTCGTCTTTGCTTCATATCTAGGTTAATTTTCACTTTTTCGATCTAATGTTACATAGTTCAACTCAGCTCTCCGAGTTCTCAAAAGAGGTACAATGGAAATTCGAAGAAGTTAAATTTCGAAGCCCTCGGTCCGCTTCATTGAAGCTTATAAATCTCATCAGCAGCGACGCTCGCGACTATTATAACGAGAAGGCATTCGATTATAATTAAAGTACGCGAAAACTTGGGGAGTAACTAATATGTCTTAAAATTAGACGAAAAGCAGAACATTGCATTTTTCAGGTTGCACTGATAATTTCGACACCGACTTTTTTTCAAAATTGGTGAATTCGGAAATGCATTAATTTCAAATGGCAATAGCTTTTCAAGCTGAGGGATGCGAATATGAGGTAATTCCTATTTCTGCATAAATTCTATATTTTTTAATAAGAAATATATACAAGTGTTTCCACCGAAGCTGATCACCTTGCAGAACAATACGTTTGGTTTCTACCAAAATTAAGTCATAATTCGAAATCAATTTTAT